CTTTTTGATCCTTGAATGGAATTTTCAGACTTCAGTTTTCTGTTTTTCACCTCTTGTTGACTCTGTTCTGTTAGTGTTTTGCTAAAGCTACTTACTGATAACTACCAAAAATACCTGTTAGGCTTGCTGCCTTCTTTTTATCTTATAAATAACTGTCTTCCATCTGTCCTGTACATTTTTCAAAACTAGCAGGTATACAGCACCTCTACAGCACAGTTTTCATTTTGCCCTGCTGATGCCGATAAGCACTCGCAGTGGTTTAGGAAGGCTGGGATCTCTCAGGCACAGTAGAGAAATGACGACACATACGTACTAGTTGTTCATGAGCTGACTAACAGAACTGACAGCGCTGTAAAGTGCGTTGTAACCTTCGAAGGGTTTGGGTATGCCCTGTTCTCATGAGACCCTGAGGTTGTTTTGGAGGATGTATGAGGCATTCCTTTGCCTTAGAGACGGTTGCATTTTTTGTGTTGTATGTGAATATAATCTCTGGGGTTTGCTGGGAATAAAGCAGAATCTGGGAGACTTTGCAACAATATTCAGGCATGATGTTTTGTAAGTATAGGCTGGCGTCCATGGAGAAGGGCCAGTATTCAAACTGAAGTTGGATGCTACTGTTTAGTTAAGTAGCATCAGAGATCTAGAACTTTGCTTTATTGCAGAATGTACAATGGATTTTTCTGTTCCCTTTTCTTTGGCCCTTGTTCCTTTCACTTCATGCACTCAGTAACATAAATTATATTTGACTGATGTTGGAACACAGCTCAGAGAATAGAGACATGATTTTGTTTTGGAGAGGATGAGTGCCTCAGTTCCTTGCTTTCATTGCCAGGTGTATGTCAGTGTTTGTGGTACTGCTGGACAGTTTTAAATCCACATTGACAGGCTTTGGCAATATATTTCTTAGCCAGCCAGCAGTGGCAACAGTGAAGAAAACCAACCTCTTTATGTATCTGTGAAAGGCAGACCTGGTCTTAGATCTTCTGCTCAGGAATTGCCCATAGTTCCAAGCCCTAATGTTCCCCTGGCTTGGGCTTGTCATTTTCAGCATAATTTAGATATGCATGTTGATTTTGAGGAACTTTGAAACACTGCCACTTGAATCAGTCACTTCTGGTTGCCTATCAAAAAGATTATCTGGAAGATACTATCTTCTTCGTGGATTCTTGGATTGCCATTTTGCCTGCACAGTCAGGTCAGGGTTTTTATTTGATTTGGGTTGTTTCATTTTGTGTGTGTGGTTTTTGTTGTTTCCTTTTCCTCTTCAGATTTTCAAATTTTGGCTCAGCTGTACTCCTTCATGGTCATCTTCCTTTTGTCTCAGTCCCTATGATTAGGGATGGTAGGAATTCCAACAAGTGTAGCTCTGGTGTTTCCTTTTTCCCCTGTTGCTCTCTGCAGTGCTTTGACCTCCTTTGCCATAAAAGCCCTTCAGCAGTGGTTGGGAGAGTGGTAAGCCTGTGTTCCTACCCAGGCCATGCCAGTGTGAAGAAGGAAGTCTCAGCTTCCTTTTTTGCCTGCTGAGGGAGTGGTGGGTAAGGAGGAGCTGAGAGAATGAGGGAGAAGAGAGATCCCAAGAGACAGTGTTCCTTCTTACATGTATGCTGTTATCTCATGGGATATTACCTCTGAATTGCTGAAAACAAAATTTTGAGGACAAACTTCGTTTAAACTATAATGTTAATGTAGAGAAGTGGTGACCCTCCAGGGCAACAAGAGGTAAAAGAATATTCCAATCCATCTATCTTACTTCTGGGCTGTTTTCTTTCCAATACATATACCTGCTGCCCCGATAGCCTTTTTTCCTACTTGCAAATCACACGGGTATAACTTTGCAGGGTTTGTTGTTGTTGTTGTTACTCCACACTGTGTAATCTTGGAAGGGTCTTGCAGGGAGTGTGTTACAGGAAGTGCACGCTTCAGGAAGAAAGTGGAGACCAAATCTCTAGAACTGGAATTCAATAAGGGGGAATGGCCTGTCAAAATGTATAGGAAAAGTGACAAGTACAAGTAGTTCCCTTCATTTTGGTCCCCCTTACTCCCAGTTCCTTTGCCCAGTGCCAACATTTGGGTGTTACGCCATTTGCCCAGCAGGTAAAGTCCTTGATTTCTGTTCGTTTCAGTAGTCAGCATGTGCGCTGGGAATCAAATGTACA